CGTCCCTGTCCACGAAAATGTGTACGTTGCTCCACCACCAGCACCTGTATTGCCAGAACTCTCACCAGTCGCAAAACGTAAGTGAATAATAAAATGCAATGGAAATATTACACCTAGCAATTCGAGCTCAACATTTTGCACTGATTGAAAATGATCATTATCAGACTGCCGCATGAAATGATTGGCTTTAAATGACGTCTCAAAATCACTACAGTATATTCATTCGATCGTGATTTTCATTTTCCTATTGTTTATTCAATTTCAGCGGAATTGCCAGTCGTTCATAGCGAAGTTCTCTCATCTGGTCCATACCCAGCGACCGTGGTCAATGCTCCATACATCCCAACAGTTGTTGTTCCAGAATTACCAACTCCAGTTTATGGCCCACGTATGTTTCCGAATGAAAATTGGCCATAACCTGATTTCCTTTATTCAATCCAACTAATTGTTCTTCACATATTTTGCTCAATTTTTAACACGAACATTTTATTGTTCCATTGCAGCAATTGTTTCCATTCCAGAAAAAGTTGTCAACGCCCCTTATCCAGCAGCCCTTAAAATTGCCACCCACTACGGTGATCCCGTTTTGAAAGTTTTCCAAGTCTTCAAGAAATAAATTTAAATGTCATTCGAGTACAATGCACAGAAAGTCGAAGAGACCTAACAAATCAATTCGAATTAAATTTAACGGACTCAAGAAATGGATGGATAAATTCAAGTTTATAGATTATGTTTATTGAAACTAATTTTTTTTAAGTTTTAAGAAGTAAAAAAAGACGATTTCTTATGTTTAAAGATCTGGTTTACCCAAGGAAAAAAAAAAAACAAAAAAAAAACTCAAAATCCATTTGCTTTTTTCTTTTCGACAATTATGAGATTCATACCTCAACGCCATCTACTTGTGAGAACTCGAATTATGAAAAATAACACTTTAACAGGTTTTTTAGTCGGAAAACGTGAGAAGAACATCAGATTTTCCTATTTTCTTTTCTGCCTTTTATTTCAAAATTCTGTTACATTCAGCATCGCAAAAGGAATGAAAATTTTTCGCATAAATAAATCAACTGAATTCCACTTTCAATTGGTTCTAAATTCCTTTTCAGATCACATTTCGATCGTACAATTGTGCTGAGCATAGCAGATACACATGACATACGTTTCCTGCGATGACATTTCAGCGATCATTAAAATTGTCAAGTTACGGCAATTCTAGCCAATGATCTGTTGTTATTTATGCCGTACGTATCAACAACAATCAGTCGGTTCGCTGTTGTAAACAGATTCAGTGTCATTTTTCTTTGTTGGTCATTAAAATTTGTGCGTGTGTGTGATTGATGCTAGCAATAAATTGGTTTTTGATTTTATTTGTAATCAAAATATAAACAATAATTGATTTGATAGGAGGCAGTGTGTCTCAGGTTAGAAAATTTGATCGTTTCCTGCCAAAGTAAATAACATTTCGACAGATTAGTTCTTAGTGTGAACTGGTGTGACCGATCCAACAGTCACTGTAACGAATTTCATGACGTTTTATTGATTATTGCTCTTTGCTTGAGCAATTATTGATTAAAAAACGACGAAAACTTTGACCACTGACGAAATTAATCAGAATACACAGACCAAAACCATAAGAAGAAAGAAAAAAAATTTATTCCGATTCATTTCATTAGAATTAGATAATCGCCAGGGAAATCTCAATACATTGAATATGTTGTATTCAACGCGATCGTATAACAAATGCAAAAATATGCGTCATTTTGCAAATGTCGCACTGAAAGAGAATGAAACGGCCAGCAATCGTTGCCATGAGACACAATTAAAACGGGTAACAATGCCAGGAGCAACAACAACAACAAAAACGACGACGACGACGGCTTCAACGGTCAAAGCGAAAAAGTATGATGACATTCCAGGGCCCAAAGGCATCTTTGGCATCGGCACATTTTATCATTATTTTCCCGTGTTTGGTATGTTAATCGCATTCAGTGAGATTTTGAATCACTTTCAATACATCTTTATCAAATGATTTGCTTTTGCGTTGAAATTACCACAGGGAAATACAATTTTGATGAAGTACACAAATCCGGCCTGGATAAATATGCAAAGTATGGTGATATCGTTAAAGAGCGAATGCTTCCCGGTGTCGACATCATTTGGCTGTTTGACCCAAATGACATAGCAAAAGTGCTGAATAATTCGGGGCCGGATATGTATCCACAGCGCAAAAGTCACTTGGGCCTGATAAAATATCGAAAAGATCGACCACACATTTATAAACACGCTGGGCTGTTACCAACGTAAGTACCACCGAATTCGTTCGATTGTCCTTAGATTCAATTTTCCCGCAAATTTCAATTGCATGTGATTTGTTAATTGGATTCTCGAATCGAAGGAATGGGCCCGAGTGGTGGCGTTTAAGATCTGAATTTCAAAAAGGCCTCAGTTCGCCAAGCCATATTCGGCAGTTTTTATGTGATTCAGACAGTATTACCAAGGAATTCATAGCTCAAGTTGAACCCACTAAAACGACAGATGCAGAGCTTGTCGAGGATTTTCTACCGGAATTATCTCGGCTGAATTTAGAGTGTGCGTATATACATTTTTTTATCATCTTTTTGAACATCTACACATCATTCCTTGGGTTTTTTTTCTTTCGCTGCAGTGGTTTGCTATCTATCATTCGATGTTCGAATGGAGAGTTTCAGTGACAAAGAGCGACATCCACAATCCAGATCGACTCGACTAATTCAGGCAGCCGAAGATGCAAATAGCTGTCTGATACCACTTGATCAAGGTGTTCCAATTTGGCACTATATCGAAACACCAATCTATCGCAAATTTCGATTGTCACAAGAATATTTGGAGAGGTATTTGACTTTTTCTCCGATAAAAAAATGTTTCCCCATGAAAAACGTGTGAATTTTTTGATAAATTTAAATTTCATTTCAATTTATCGAATAATTTAAGCTCTATTTGACTTTTTATTGATTCCAGTGTTGCTGTTGATCTAGTGAGTCAGAAAATCTCATTTTTCGATGAAAATAGCATCGCTCAAAAGACGGGTAAACGTTCGTTGCTCGACGATTATTTGTTGAATCCCCGATTGGATTTGGCCGATGTTGTTGGCATGGCCTGTGACTTACTTTTGACTGGCATTGATACGGTACTTTTGATCCCTTGATCGCATTTTGATTAATTCACCTATTAATTTACATAATTTTTCTTTTTCTTCTATCGCCATCACATCAATAGACAACATATTCAACATGCTTTTTACTTTACCACATCGCTCGGAATCCACATGTCCAAGAACGCGTATTTCAAGAAGCATTCAATGCTCTGCCCGATTATGATACTGACGAAATAACCGAAGAGAAAATGGCACACCAATTGACTTATAGCAAAGCTGTACTTAAAGAGACATTCCGATTGAATCCCGTATCAGTTGGTGTTGGCCGCACCTCAAACACAGATCTCATTCTAAGCGGATACAATGTACCAAAAGGGGTATGTGTTTGAAATTCAAATTTTCAATTGAAAAAAAAAACGCCAATTTTCAATATTTTACATATTTCCAGACGATAATAGTAACGCAAAACTACATTTCGTGTCGGTTAGCCAAGAATTTTGAATCGCCATTGAAATTTGTGCCAGAACGTTGGCTGAAATCTGCTGATGGGAAATCGCTCAAATCTACCGTGAATCCATATTTGGTGTTACCTTTTAGCCATGGAATGCGATCGTGTATCGCAAGACGATTCGCCGAACAAAACATGCTTGTTCTAATGCTTCGGGTGAGATACCGCATAGTTTTTGCTTCGCAAAGCATAGATTTTAATTCGTTGTCCATATTTTTTGTTCCATTTTTTCAACTTTTCGCAAAATTTCTTTAGATAATCCGAAAATACGAAATCGGCTGGATGGGTGTTGATCACATGGACGTGAAAACCACAACAACCATTAATAAACCAGATCACCCGGTAAAATTGACATTTAAGAAGCGATCAATTTGAACGTTCCTTCCAACCGGAGAACAATTCTTTCCACTGTATTTCTGAAATCTCAGTCAGAGTTCATCCCCGAACGTGCAATCTGTTGACAAAACGAGAGTTAAAACTCGGCAAATCATTTTTCTTTATAAAATTTGTTTTTGCAAATCCTTTTAAACGAATTTCTTTGTTTTTTTAAACATTCTTCATTTATATTTGACTGAATAAAAAAGTTTCTTCGAAATAAAATATACTTGAATTGAAGTTAGGCGAAAAAATGAAACAAAAAAATACATTTGAACATGAATTAGATGAAATTGATCGACGTAGCCGTAAGATGTCATTACGAATGCGATCAACAAATGGTTTTTATACAAAGTGGACACCGATTATCGCTTCAAGCATGCGAAATGGCCTTGCACTGGACCCAAGCTGTAAAATTCAATGGCACCTCGAATTGAATAGAACTATGCCGACACATAATTTCTAGGTCATGGGAGCATTTAAAATAAGCAACCAGTTACATTAATCGTATTACAAAGCCTAACCAAAGGATGTGAATTCGGAATTTTGACTCGAAAATTCAGTTGATGGGATATTTCATCGGTAGTTGGGTGGATATTAAGCGTTAAACTTTAATCCATGCGAAATGAGTATTTTTTTTGCCCCAAATGTGGAGCCAAAATGGCTACTATCGAAAATGGTGATGATGATATTAAAAAAAACAATTAATATTTATATAAAGAGCTATCAATCTAGTAATGCTGTTTATTTTCAGACTTGAACGGAATGTAGCAAGCGTAGACAATTGAAGTTGTCAGTTAAAAAATGCCGTGTGAACTGTTCGTTGACATCAGTAAAACTTGTAGTGAAAAAAGGTGAACAATAGTTTATGTTCTTTTTTGGGTCGGGTAAAAATGAGAGTTTCATTAGTAACGACCAAATATATTCAAACCATTTCCTTCCTATTTTCTTTATTTGTGATCAACAAATATCCAGATCCAGCTGCGGTACAATGCCCATCGTGCATACATAGAATTCTGACGAGAGTTGTTTTTAAGACGAATATGATGACTCATGTGATGGCATATCTACTCTTCTGTGTACCGTATTGCTTAGATTCGTTTAAGGAGGCACAACACTTGTTCCGCTTGCCACGGTAAATTGAATTAATTTAATTGACTTTTAAATCATAACAATAGTATTACATATTTTTTCCATTTTTTTAGCATACCTTGGCGCCTATTCGAGGAAACAATTATTTTCAAATTTTAAAAATATAGCGAAACAATTGAAAATTATGAAAATAAATTTAACGAAACGTTTCAAATTGCATACCAATTTTTCGTGCTTCGTTGATGTTAGAACTGCTTCAATTTGAACCAATTCTTTGTTTATCGAGTTTTATCAACACAATCATAACATAAGTTTCTTTTCTTCCTCAACAGATATTAGTATCATAAAAGTTCAAAATAAAAGGGGAAAAACCGCGACGGAGTATCATGTTCAAAATACAACAAGGAAGAAACATACACACTTCCACAACCATAATAAGGTTGCTGCTCTCAATTTCCTGAAGTATGAGGGAGACAGAAACACAACGGGAAATTACGGCATTGGATACAATTTGAATTGAAACGATTGATTTGCCCAACGCACATACAAATGCTCGGCGCTGTCATCGCATGACATTGTGTTGGACTATATGTTGATTCGTACAGTGTACACATCAACTCGGCATGAAAATAGGAGGCTCACTCACGTACTCAGGCAAAAGACGGCGTTTTCACATACTCAAAATACTAATTTCACATCATGAACCAAACCATTTAAAAAAATTTCCTTTCAAATGTGAATGTGCAATTTTCTTGCGCGAACTATTCAATACGTAGCATTTTATAGTATATTTCTAACGATACGAGTAAAGCAAAAAAACAAAAAAAAAACAAAAAACAAAGCGAAGCAAATAATTACAAATAGAAAATAATAAAATTCTTGGCATCGTATGCTATGACCATCATCTACGAATTAAACAGCGTCAAGTTAAATGAATCAAAAACAAGAAAGTGTTCATGTTTGCCATTTTCTAAATGGTTTTCCACCGATTTTATTTAATTCCGTAATCTTTTTTTTCCATTCATTGCATAAGTAGCTATCATTTCGCTAAGCACATCAGTTTTCATTCTCTTATTTTTACAAAAGAAAACTCAAACATTTTGCAGTGTGTATTCAAATCAAATCAGTGCTTTGTAGCTAAACAAAACAAATGAAAATTATGTTGAATCGAGATAAAGGGTGTGAAAGAGATCAGAGGACAGGAGAAAAGATGGTTTATGTTTGAGCCAAGAGAACGAAAAATATTTAAATAAATTTTTCATTGATTTATAGTTGACTAAAAAAGTTGATATGAAAAAAACGCAAATGAAACAAAATCCAAATTTAACAAAGATAAAAAACGAATTCACTTGATTTTTTGTATGGAATGGACACAAAGGAAAGAATGAAAGGAAAACAATTTGAAGATTTAGCGCATAGGTCCATTTTATAAATAATTCTATTCTATAATGCCAGTATGAATTCTTTTTTTTTCATTTATTCCATTCGATGCATAAAATTGTGTTGCAATGATTTTTGCATGAACTTGTTTTTAAATCTATGAAAAATCGTACACACTTCATATCATGCTGCCTCAACTATTTCAAATACTATAGCGAGAAGTTAGATCCATTTCGAATTTTCAGCTCGACTTTGACATTTTTTTAAAGACATTTTCAGTCTGTCGGGAAGTTCATTCATTATTTTATGCACGGTGAGTACTAGGGTGATTGTGATATTAGTCAAATGGTAGCTCCAATGTATCAAGCATCATAATTCACCATTCATATACTTTGATAAGATCTCGTTTCTGATGGAACAACCACAAGCATTTGAGATCAAAAGTGGAAAGTCGAATGGAGAAAAGGTAATGGACAATGAAAAGAACGGAACTTCGGCTGATGATAATTTTACCAATTCTACCTCCACACAGGTAATTCTAATAATTCTCTCAAAGAGTGAGGTTGAATGGTTTGATTCTAAAAATTTATCTTCTCATGCGAATAGAACTTTGATGCAAAAAAATGAACAGCTTTCTCAAATCAGAAGCAAATATGATGAAAATACTTGTTGAGAGGTTTGTCTAACGAAAATTTTCAAATCCAATATCTTTACCAATAGGGTCATCAGTCATGCATCTAGCTTCAAGCTATATAACTACAGCTGTGCTGTCGCTCTTCTCTGACAGTTTTGAGGATTTGACTTTTGAGTATACAGTATCAAGATTTTAACCTATAAATGTAAATACAAAAATGAAATTATTAACATTCGGACTTTTGAAATTGCATTCAGGGAGACTTCGGATCTGTATGTGCCAGAGACCATTCGTTTCTATTGCGAAACAATCCAGCACAGAACTGAAATATATCTATAGTATAAATGAGTTGCTTGAAAATGTAAGCGTTTCGACGAAAAGCGTTTGGTCGTCATTCGATGCATCAAATGAGTTTCAGTTGAAAGATTTGTTAGATTCCGATCCTCATTATCGTTCGATCATAAGTTCGGTAATATTGGCCAAAAAATGTGGACGATTGGGCAATTCGACCGAATACAATACTAGTCATCCTTTCTTCGAACATCTCTGTGATAGTATTAAAGGAATGACAGCCGACGATGTAGTTTCAACGCTGGTTGCATTAAATTTTTTGAATATTTACTTTGTGCGGATTCGAATTCACATATGATCAAATATTTGAAAAACTGTGACAATTTCCAGGATTTGTACTACATCACGCTGTATTTTGAAAGTTTAGATAGATTTCTAACCAAAGAACTTATGACCATGCACAAAGCAAAAATGAAAGCATATTTGAAAGATCTCGACCCACAAATCAATTTTAAAGAATTATTGACGTTATATATTTCAAATACAAAAACAAACAAACGTGGACTTTTCTAAATTTCTACTTTTCTTCTCCTTCCAGATGTTGACATTTTATCGAAAACATATGTCCTTCAAAAATTCGCGTATAATTCGAAACATTTTGTTGTTTGTGTGTGTTGAAATACCTAATTTATCCAACTCTGATCTTCAAAATATTGCTTGGGTAAATATTACTTACTTGTAAAGGCTTCAAAGTGAAACGCGTAGATTTCAAATTCGAATATACCGATCGATTGGATATAAAAAAATAATAATTTTGACAAAAGAGCAGCGGCCAATTTTGGGGCATAGTAGAGATATGGCCCCCTTTAACAAAGATTCATCTTATGGTTTTTATATGATGTGTTTCGGCCTTGAATTAGAGCATAAGCGGTGATTTTTTCGAAGGGAAGTGTTCTGAACCTAAAAGTAATTTTTAACGAGGAATCCAAAAATTTAATTTGTTCGGGGAATTTAGGGAAACGAGCTCGGGGAGGGTGACCAAAAGCACAAATAGATAGTACGAAAAAAATTAGGTATAGTTGGCCATACATTTGTATGCAAAATTTCCACTCCAAGGGGTAGAAAATTGACTCTGTAATATCTCCAGATGGAGAGCACTTCTTGCCAGTTCAGTTTCTGGGAGTCTGGGTGCGGTGGGCCGTTGGAAAAATACATATTCCCACTAATTTGGGTAGGAGACCCACCAACCCCATGAGGTGAGGAAAAAATGGGAGGGAGGCTGCCCCCAAAAAAATTTCTTTTCATTCTGAACAACATCATTTTTTGATCAGATGAAGTTTTGGAAATGGGGTGGGTCTATTCCCACTATGACCGAAAACGGGCCGCTGCCCTTCTGTCAAAATTATTTTTTTTCATATCCTATCGATCTGTATATTCAAATTTGAAATCGACGCGTTTCACTTTGAAGCCTTTACTAGTGCATTTTTCAATGTAGGTATATTTTTAGAATTTTTCCAAATAATATTTCTGTATACGGACAAGTCTACTGATCTTGATCTAATCTACTGTCGCTTATCCAAGTATTTGCCCGATCACTTGGAATCAGTTTCTCGAGATATGCTGACAATAATGGCCAATTCAAGTTCCGAAAACACAATAAAAAATGATCAACTGTTTGCCATTCTGAAACATAAACGATATATCAGTGTCAAGGATATCTACAAAAAATATTGGGAAAAAATGACCGAAGATTTGGCCAACATAAGCACACAAGCGTTAGACATAGATTTCACATTTCAACTCTTTCGTATCGATATTGTTTGTTACAAAAGGGGCTGGCTAGCAGATACCGGTGCCAGAAATTTGAATCATTGTTGAAAGAATTAGTGTTGATCGAAGTTAAATATGGAATTTCGGCATGGTTGCCGCATCGCATAGCCAATATGGCCACGTTTATAATCGGATATGCCAATGACCCAATATTTGATCAAATTACGCTTCCCGAGTATTTTGTGAAGAAAATTGAAGAAATGGCGCCCCAGTTCACGGCCAACGAAATTATCGACATTTCCATCGGAATAGAAACTTTTCATCGTAATGGAATCCTAAAGAGGTATGATGATTTCGGAAATATAGGAGAATAAACATATTGATATGAGGTAATACGCTCTTTTTTAGTGTAAATCGAAGGATGGCAGCCAAAGTTATTGATCGTATCGGACGTTTGGAAAACGTTGTTGATGCTTGCATAGAACGAATGATTGATGGACGAAGAAAGATTCAAATTGATTCGATTTGCTTACTCATAAGAGCGTATGCCAATCAAAAGGGTACGATTATCGAGCTTTATGCTTTTGAGAGTTGAAATACTTATTGATTTTTCATTTCAGTGCTAAAAAAGACCCACACTCTTGACAAATTAATTAGAAAACTTGAAGAGATTTGTTCCTCAGATGATGTTATCATCACAGCCCGCACGATCCAGATCGTAGTAGTCTTAATAAAATAGTGTTCGTCGTACCGAAGCTATGCGAGCACATGCTGAAATTTGTTAATGAACATCGGGATATTGTGGGTGGCGATATTGTAGCCTATTTATTGTTTTATTTATTTTCAATGGGCTATGAACCGTACGTGAATTCTCAAGCGATTTTGAATGAAGACAAAACTGGGAAGCCGAAAAGCCAATATCTGAATGCCGAACTGTTTGATTTTGATAATTTTACTCGAATAATAAACCGTGACGTCGAACTGATGCCGGCTTGGTTAGTCGTTCAAGCATGTTTAGCATTCAGCTTTTATCAGGTATGATTTTGGAAACACAGAAACAAGAAATTACACAAACGACGAAAAATAAATTAAATTCATTTGAATTTTTCATCAGGTTCTAACATTAGATTTAATAAGTCGAGTGTTCAATATAGATTTCGTTACTCGGTTAGAAAAGGAGTTGGCTCTGATGTATGATGCGGTAAATAATGACCGTTGCGAAATTGAGGAGAAATAATTAATAGTTAAATTTGTCATAAATTTCCAGAGAAGTTATCCAAAGAACCTTTTAAATATTGTGATGCAGCTAAATAGGGCGGTGTGTCTGGACTATCCGGAGGTAAATGATCGAATTGATTTGTATAATTTGTATAATATAAATGATAATTATTTCATTATTGCAGGCTGGAGTGCCGTGGTTCCAACAAAATTTTGCACAACTAGCAGCAGCTGGTGAGTCAAGATTATAAATATACTTTTATTGGAAAATTAATTAATAAATTTAATTTAAAATACATTTTTCAGATCCAAACATATTTGTTTGTTTTTCACTAAAGTAATATTGCCACTCAAAATGCATGCAACACATTGTTTGCTGGCTTCGTTACTGAAAACTTGCAAAAACTCGCAACTACTTACCTTTTATCCAAATCATAAAATGTGCATTGTACCTTGGTGCTGGAAAAGAGTAACAATTTTTTCTTCGATTTTTTTTTCAACTTATTTCAAGAATTTCATACGTTTTTAAGCCACATGATGGTGTCATTTAAATAAAAACAATTTGTTTGATTTATACAAAAAATATAGTTTTTTTAAAAATTTTTTTTGCTTTGTATGTTCGCTGATTCTTCAGTAATCATTTGAGTTTTAAATATTACAATAAGTTTTAATTTGGTTTTTACTGCAATTGTTCATCATCATCATTTTCACAATCCAATAGTTATTTACACATGACACAGATGTGTTATTTTCTCATATCAATTTTTTTTTGTTATGTTACGATCTGTCACAAGAATTATTATAGTATATTTTCTCACAGAATTCTACATTATTATTTTATTTGTTTATAATTATTGCTTGAATTGGGTTTAGAAACAAGTACAAAAAAAAACAAGAACAATACTGTAACAAAAACTGTTTCGAAAGCCAAACAAAGAAAAAAACGATCGAATAAAAACATTCCAAAAAGGTATATAAAAAAACAGCTAAAAATAAAAGGTGTTGTTGTTTTCTAATTTTCGGGTACGTTAAAAGATTAGATTCTTAAATTGAAAATGGAATCACCGAAATAGAAATACTTTTTGGGTATTTTTTGTACATAATGTAGAAATGGTATTGTTTCAACTACATAGAAATATGAAGATCTGTATAATTTTACGTCTACGTGTGAAATTGAGTTTAGGCTTTGCATGTTTCGATCATTAAATGATCCGTTGTATCGAAAATGGATGAATGTGTTCTTTTTTATTTGTTTCTTCTTCTACTTCGTTTCACTTAAACTATTCCTTAATTTCCATTTTTGTTTTTCTTTCCAAGTTATGGCTAAAAATAATGGCGGTTAAGCAGTAAATTCTTTTAAATCCATTTTGTATCGCGAGAAAGAGAGTTTTTTAAATATTGAAATGCGATGACGAATTGAAATAGATGCAGATGGAAAAATTAATAGCAAAATTTGTGCCTTATAAATTCAAAAGAATAAAATGATGTAATGTTAGTAAAATTGGTAGAAAAAAAAGTAAAAATAAATCGAATAAAAATACCCTAAATAATACAACCAATGCTACTGGAACCATTGAAAATATATATATATATATATGTGTGTGTGTGTATGTTTTAGCTTTGGAATACAATTTTTGTGGCTAAAATATCATAAGGAACAAATTTTGACTTTAGTTTTGTCTGTTTTTTCCCCGTGGATCGAATTTGCATTTATTTATTTTTTTGCTGCAAATAAACACACATTTGATCATATATGTTTACAAATCATCTACAGAAAAAGTTTATTCGTAATAATTTTTTTGCCATTGTTTTTTTTCTTGTTTGTTTGTTTGTTAGCAGAGATACACGAATAATAGAGCTACGAACAATAGAGATAGTGGATAAATTTTAAGATCTATTGAGAATTTAATTAAGAAATTGATAAAAAATAGTTCGATCTTAGAAGCTAGAGTTGCGCGCCCGAAATGATTCAAAGGTTTGGGTCGCATGGGGTAAATTTTTGTTGTTGTTGTTTAACTTACATAAGAGAGCATTTGTTGTTGTTGTATTTTTTTAGTTTTCAAAAACTCAGCTTATAGTATAATGTAAATATATGTTATCTGTGACCTTAAAAATTAGCATTTTTTTTTATTTATCACGGTGAGCCATACTTCCTTAATTTTTCGTTCTGTTTTCACTGGGGATCAATGTTTATTGTCCGTGCCATCGGCTCTGTTTGTCTCTTCTTCTCCATTTCAACTCATTTGGTTTACGATGATTGGTTTTCTACTATTTTTTCCTCCTCTCTCCTGCTTTGATTCAAATTCAAAATTGTGTGTGCTTGAAAAGAGATTGTTCGAAGCCCTACGGTGTTCTTTAACTCCAGCAGTGTGAGCACGTGTTTGCATCCATTGATGGGAATTTGTTTATCTATAAATGCGACGATGACGACGACGAAGTGAAAATAAATATTATGTAAGTAATAAAATTCATAATGAATAAAACAACAAAAGAAAAGTACCCTATGTACCTGTGTGAATTGGTTTGTGAATGACCATATTTGGTGGTTTCGATGTGTTGATGCCTCGACGAACGATGACTGCTTGCACTGGTGACGGTGTTGTTATTTTGGCGTAGCGATGCACTGTTATTGGATAGCGCCAGCTCGGTTTCCGTGTGATTTTGAACATGTCGTACCCATTCAGCAGGCGTCACAAAGTACATATCGCACAAATCACAACGCAACGCAGCTATATTCTCCGACAGTGTACTCGACTGAAAAATCATACGCACAAATACATACACGTAACGAAGCAATTAGTCATTTTCAATCCAGAACAAAAAGAAGCCGCAAGAAAAAATGAAGCGGCGCGGGAAAGAAATGGAGAAAATCGTAATCAAATGACAACCGAATTCGGAAGATCCCGTTGTAACATAATTACAATATGATTTACCTCGATGTGTTTCCGCTTCTTGGGTACACAGTGTGACGTTTCGGAATGGCTCTCGATGTGACGAACCCATTCGGCTGGAACGGTAAAGGTTTCACTACACAATTCACATTCTAATGGCGAATAAATTGGTTCTTGTTGTTCGGTTGCTTTTTTTTTTAATTTGAAAAGAACACAAGGTGAAGAAAACAATTGATTCGCTCGCATCGTTTTTTCTTGTTTACTTTTGCTTTCACTTTTACTCAGTTATATAAGTAAAACTTGACAAAAGTAAAATGAATTGAATCGAAATAAAAACTGAAAAGATACCTTCTTCGTCAGTGTCACCCTTTGAGTAAACGAGTTCCGGTTTGACGGCAACCTCAATGCTAGACTTGTTGAGACTGGCATTTTCATGCTCGAAATCGGGCCATTCAACTGGTTCCGGTGGTTCCTGTTTGATGATTGACATCATTTGAAGATCTTCCGGCATTTGGGCGGTTTGCTGCTGTGCCTGGAATGTGATATAATCACATACACACACAAAATAAAATACGTCACTTAATTGGATAATTTTTTCATGTCAATGTTAAAGTTATTACGTTACCATTGGTGATGTGATCTTATCAAAGTTGCTTGTGGAATTGATACGAGATTGCTTCTGCTGTTGTTGCTCATTGTCAGATTTCCTACTGAAATCTGGTTGCTGCGGTTTTGTGGTGGTGCCACACGCACACAAAATCATGGAAACCAAAATAAGAAAACACAGATTATAAAGACGAAAGACGATTATCAGAAACTAATGTACATTACCTGTTGATGATGCAAATGGCTTCCACTTGGAAGGTCATCCTTGGCAAAATAATCATCGCTGTATCGTCGAACAAAATTATTATTAGTTGAGGTCGTTGTTATCGTTGCCGTTGAACTATTGCCATTTTCAATATGTTTGCCGTGCAGTTCGACGCCGCCGACGATATTGATCCCGACGCCGGCCTGTGACTGCGTTTCATGATTGTTGTTCACAACGGTATTGGAAATGTGTGCTTTTGGATATAAATGTGATGTGCTGTTTGCGCAACGTTTTTCGGATATTTGTTGTGCTTTTTTCACAGCGGCCGCTATTTGCAATGATACCAAACCGTAATGTGATGCTGGCACACTCACCAAATCCTCATTCATTGCATTGATTGTCATTGATTCCTTTTTTATGCCCATGCTATTTGGATTGCTTGAGCTGCTGCTGTGCGAATCGGGCGAATGGATGAGCGATGATGATGTTGATGATGTGATTTGTGGTACAGGCGGTGGCATATGGCCACCAAGTTCATTGTGTACAGATGATTTGAGATGTAATGGCGTTGTCGATGAATTGTAGGTGCAATGATTTCGAACCACAGTCGATTTAAGGCCATAACTCATGGCATTCTACGGAAATAAAAATAAAAATTCAGGTTAAAAATTGAACGTATTTTGTGTTCAAAAGTTTTGTCGTTTGGGGTCCCCATTTTCGTCTTACCCTTTTCGAAATGTCCTGATCCGGTGGGCATAAGCCCGACACGGATGTGATTGCCGACGATGTGGATGATGACGATGATGATGTAGGTTTGTGTGCGACCGATGCATTGCCCATGTGCTGTGGTGATGTTACTATGACGGGGCTTTCTTTAATTATCGCATTATTATTGGCCATTCGTTCAGTGTGCGGTTGATCGTACATGATTTTATCGCAAACCGTTTCGACGGGAACGGCTGAAGACGATGAAAAATGCAATGAACTTGACTCATTCAGCGATGATGTAGGCTGCTGAGCTTGTTTATTGCGACACAATCCGCGAATTTTTAACAATTCACCTCCATGGAGTACTTCATTTCTATGGAATTGAAGAAGGAAAGAACATGGTATTAATCTCATTCATCGCCTTCGCATGATTTTGAGTTTAGCTTGGTAAGCTTATTATTTTTATTCGATAGTAAAAATAGATGCACTTACAATATATCGTTCGATACGGTTGCTTCGCCGCTGTACATATATTGAATTAAAATCTGTATCGATCTTCGGCTTATTTCGGGTGGCAGGACGATATAAACCATGGAATTAGGTGGCGCTGGATTCAAATCAAATACTTGTGCAAAAAACTGTTGCGAGAGAACGATAAAGCAAGAAAAGAAAAGAAGAAAAATGGCACCGATGGGAATTTCGATGCCATTAAGAAAGAGGTCAGTTGATGGTTTTTGTTGTTGTTGTTGTTTTTAATAACAACGGTTAACAAATGATACGTACGTGACTGCACGAGCTGAGAATTATCTTATGAGCTGGTATACCGCAACCACCATCCATTTGACTTGTGAATAGCAACACATCGGCGAACTTGTCATTTCTGCATCCAAAAGAAAAAAAAAAGGAATATGAATGAACAAACCAATAAAAGAAATATCTCAAGGTTTTTCCACCTTTGAGGGTGTTTTCTTCAACCTCAACACGCCAGAAAGCGAAAAACACAATAGATCTACACTCTACAGTAGACCGAATTGAACACACAAAAAAACTGGCCTATAATTTTACTTTTCCGTACACACCGTGTCAAGGGAAAGTATAGGAATTGGTCCCGAAAACTTTTTTCACAAAATTGGTTTAGATCATCATAAAAACTCATGAAACGCATGGAAAACCACTTTTTGAGACACTTTTCCGTTCGTGTGCCGTCGTTGTCATCGTCGTTGTCGTTGGTGTTTGTTAACACGATAACTCAAAAAATAATTGAGATAATCAAAATCTGGAAATGCCAAAAGTTCTGTATCCGAAAAACTTAGTTCAAGCTCGAAGATGAGCCATTTTCGATTTGATCCTGGGGTACTTGCCCCAAGAAAAACCTCAAAAAATTGACAATTTTGTGTGGGAGGTACCCGTAAATCGACTCCGATTAGATTCAAACTTTCTGGGATTTCTCGTTTTGGGAGAAAAATATGATTCTGAAAGTTTGAAGTCGATCGGAGTCGATTTACGGGTACCTCCCATACAAATTTTTCGAAATTTTGACCGTAATCCGATAGCAATACATTGCTTCTTATGGAGGCTGAATGGATGGATTTTTGTAAGAGCGCCTCTAGTGAAAATATCTTAGAATGATGGAATATTTCGAACTTTAATACGCTTTTCTGCTAATTTATCCAAACTCACCTCTTAAGTGGTAAATAAAAACCAATAAATATTTACACATCGAAATATCTCGAAAACGGCTGGGAAAAATATGATTCTGAAAGTTTGAAGTCGATCGGAGTCTATTCACGCATACCTCTCATACAAAATTGTCGAAATTTCGACTAAAATTACCGATTTTTCGTAAATCGATTCCTATTGGCTTCAAATTTCCTGAGGTTTCATTTTCTAGAGGAAAAACAAGATTCTGTAGCCTATTTCACCAAATGTTTTCATGAGATTTTCTCTTCAAGTTTTTTTGGTCAAACAAATATATCTAAATGTAGCAATGAGAAAATCTCAATAGAAACGTGAAAATATCCTCATTTTTTTGACATTATTTTGAGCACCAACTTGAAATTTCGAGATTTTTTCACAAAAATGTGAGATCACATCATGGTTGGCTCAAAAATAAATGAAAATTTAAAATTTGCGCCCAGAATAATGTCAAAAAAATGAGAATATTTTCACTTTTCTATTGAGATTTTCTCATTGCTACATTTAGATACAATTGTTTCACGAAAAAAACTTGAGGGGAAAATCTCATGAAAACTTTTCATGAAAACATTTGGTGAAATAGGCTGCTGGAAGTTTCATGTTGATCACATTTGCAGAAGTTTGATTTTTGATCCTCAATTTTTGTCGAAATTTTCTTGGAAAAAATTGAGGGCCAAAAACCAAACTTCTGCAAATGCGATCAACATGAAACTTTCAAAATCTTATTTTTTCTGTAAAAAAATGAAACCTTAGAAAGTTTGAAGCCAATAGGAATCGATTTACGGGTACCTCCCAAACAAAATTGTCGAAGTTTTGACTAAAATGACCGATTTTTCAAGAATATTTAATAAAAAAAATCCAAAAATACGGACAACGGTACGGAAAAGTTTGGGATTACGAATGTAATTCTTTTTATTCCAAAAGTGTTTATTGAAATGTTTTATCTTTACCTGAAAAGCGTGGCAACCGATGAATTTAAATTGGTTAAATGGGAGTGCCACTTCAATTGATAGTTTTCAGCTATCTGAGATGACGACATGTTCAACCAGATTTAGTGCACATATATAATGTAGTTCAATTTAGTGTAGTAAATTCGATGCTTTTCTCAATTGGACGCAGTAATTGATTTTTAAGTGGTTTACTATTGATTAACAAATCCGTTGTCGTCGATTTACAAAATCGCGATAACACGCGCGCCGTGTTATTTGTCTGTATGTTCCTGTTTATTTCACAGTTCAGTGCACAGTTCCTGTGTGACAAATGGAAACAAGAAAAAAATAGAATAGAAGAGTGAATCATAAAATTAGTTGCCATTTTACTTGAGTTGAAATGGTATTTTGCGCTGTGTGTGTGCCTGTGTCTCCCTCTCTCTCTCTCTCTCTCTCTCTCTGTGTGTGTGTGTGTGTATGTTTTATGTTGGTGGGTTTTTCCACTTAATTTGAACGATGGCGCCGTTTATAACAATTGAAATACACAGTAAGCTAATGCATTGGATGGAAACGACAACAAAAATCAATTCAAATCGATTTCCTGCCTCAGTGGAAACGTTAATTATGATCATCATCAAGGATCGATTTCCATATGAAGGAGCGCTCGTAAATAACATATAAAATACAGCATAGTTTCGAAAAGTTTTGGAGCTTCTCGCACTACATCTAATAATAGTAATGATAATGCAATCGACAAAGTTAATAGCGAACGGATAATAATAATAACCCGACAAAACCATCATCAATCATACCGTGACCAGATCAAATTTGATCGCGTGTAAGTGAAAATAATGCTTCATATTTAATTAATGGCCCATATGAAATTCCAATGAAAATTTCATTTAGCACAATGTTCGTCATCAGGCTTTTGCTGCTGCCGTCTCTGCTGACCGACCGTGCCCCCATCCCACCCCGTCATTGCACCCTCATATGGATATATGAAATAATAAGCCGTTCAACGGTTTTATTTTTGTAAATCAAATTCCAAATATAGCTCCATAATAACATAGCCAAAAACGGCTATGGGCACGCTATTTATACACCATACTAAACAACAAATGAAGAAAAAGTATGTGTGAGAGAGAGAGAGAGAGAGAGAGAGAGAGAGAGAGAGAGAGAAAGAGAGAGAGAGAGAGAGAGAGAGAGTGCACGCGAGCGAGCAAGTATAGGAAATAGAACCTGATTCGGTATTTCGTAGTCATAAAACTACACACATGCACACGATGGAAACGAAAAATGGATGTATGGATTTGATGGCGTGCGCGCCATCGAACATCCAAAGAAACGAATTTTTCTCCTCTTCACGCCATGCCGTTTCCCATGCGAACGTATTGTGTGTGTGTGTGTGTGTGCTTTTCATCGTGCGCGCCACCGTACACAACGACATTTTTCCACCATGCTGCTGTTGCCGCTATACAAGTAAACAAAACCCTCAATGAATCATAACGTGCGACGCCACTAAATGAACCGAATAGAGAACGTATGTGTCTGTGCATCGAGAGTTAGATTCATTCAGTCATTGTAGAATTCAGCAGAAAGGCGACACCAATGACTATCATAACAATCACCACCGACCGAATCAACAGCGAAAATGTAATGAAAAAAAAACAGCAACAGCAACAATAGCTCGCACCAAACACCGAACACAGAGCAGCGACAAGCAGACCGTACACCAAAATCAAACGTAACTCCGGAATGAGAAGAAGGAAAGGCAAAAAAAAATCAATAAAACGATTTTAGGTAGAGAGAATCCCTCGCGCAATTCACTGTCGTGTATCGACTTCGTCGTTGTCATCGTCGTCATCGTCGTCATCGTCGTCGTCATGTTCCGTTCATCTGTCTTTCGGTTTCACCGCATTTTCCAATGCTACTCTACTATTTGATGTTGGGCTATAGCCGTTTTGCACAAAGCATTTCCAATTTGACCTAAACTCGCTGCTGCTGCTGCTATTCGAAAACAGATATAATAACGTTTTCCGATTCAACTTGAGCTATACACACAGCAGCACTGGCACATATAGAGCATTGGATTTCTATGGGAACTATGATGTATTTTTGCTATCAAAACATCAGACGCCTACAACTCTCTGCTCTCGCTCTGTTTCTTCCTTTCTCTGTATGTGTCTGTCTATAATGCTCTCTCTCTCTCTCTTTGTTCCAGGAACCGTTGATAAAGTTGTGCTCGTGTGTGAGCGCCCGCAATTTTGGCTTTTCCATTTCGAAAACAACAACAAACCATCTAGAAGAAAAAGGTAGATAAAATCTGTATACTACAATCGTGTGCGATTCGGTGATTTTTTTCATTGTTATTGTGAAAATGCGCATCCTCAAACATTTCAATTCCAGATGCTTCAAACAAATCCGTTGACCGTTGATGGTAGCTGTAATAATTTTTCGATTCTATTTTCTATTTGAACGTCCAGATCTGGTCAAAAGTTTACCACAATTTTTGTACCTCGTTGAAAGAATTCTCAATTGTCAATTGGAGATAATGACGTCAGAAGAAATTGATTGTGTCTCAAAAAAAATTGGTTACGTTCATGATTGTCACATCGATTACATTGAACTTTTCCGTTCTCCAATTGCAATGTTTCCTCTTGGTTGTCGCCATTCTTGGTGTTATTGTACTTAGTTGGAATTTATCGTTTCTAATTGGGAATAATGCCTCCCCTTTGCTCAACTATTCGATTTCATGTTGTTCGATTCGATGTTGCTGTTGATTGTTCGCTGCCACGGCTAAACATACGACGTAATAGATTGAATATAAAAACGACGAAATATACAACGAGAAAAAAAACCAATAGAATCGAAAAAAGACGACAACAACAACATTCAACACACCACCAAGTCTATGTAATCTATACTATTGATTTTTTGCTCCGATTCGATTTATTTGGTGCTGTGCCGTAAATAGGAAAATATGACTCTGTGCAGGAGCGGGAGAGCGAAAAAGCGAGCGAGAGAGAGACAGAGAGTCAGAGAGTGTCGATAACGAATGGAGAAAAAGGAAAGGAAGACGACAACGACACAACCTTTAACAATAATAACAATAACAGCCGAATGCACGTAATCGCCAGTGTGTGTATATATGCATGGCAATCGTATTGTGTATTATGGATTTTTTCTTTCGACTTTCCGTTGGTCGCATTGCTTCATTCGTGTGCGTGTTAGGTTGATTGGTTTGGTAGATTTCATTTCTTTTTTCCTACTGTTGTTGGTGTTAATTTTCTCGGTGGATTTTCTTCTTGGCGTTTTTCAGTTTTATCGAGCCGTATGATATAGGTTTTGCCATTGATTTTGACTGGATCATCATTTGATCAATTAAAATTTTAAGCATATGATTTTGGATCGTATTTGATTCCGTTTTCATACTCTTGGATTCATGAATAGGCAACAGACACACAGTGCTATGATTGCGCGCCGAAAAGCATGTTTCTTTTTTTTAAAGTTTGATATAGTTATTTATACGTACCGTTTGTATCTTTTGAACGCGTTCTTGAACAACACGAAGAAAGCAGAGAATGAAAAACAACCCACAACGTGTGTATGTATACAATTTTTGAGCCATAGACAAACTTAGCTTCTCATTTCACCCCGTCGCACGAACACTACAGTGAAAATCATGTGATGAGGCGGTCGGTTGGTCGGTCACACACAGAGTGTTTATATTTATTTCAAAAGTTTCATTAATTTTCAATCAGTATCATGATTTAGTTTACATTCATTCATTTGTTTACGTTGTCGCTTCACACATAGTCCAATCATATCCATGTCCACTATCATTGTCGACGATAATGATCTGTTTTGGTTTTTTGACATTTCACTTCATTTCACATATTAAAAGCAACGTTTCATCATCTTTGAATTACTGTCGCGCGCGCTTTTTTTCGTCGTTCCTTACACAAACTCGATCTCCTTTGTCCAATTTAACCAATTCGATGACACTGAATATTCAATACATTTCTCTTTTTATTTTCAATTTAGAAAATCACTTAGCATCGTTTTGGTTCAAAATCATTTCGAATTGACTTTGCAATTAACACACACTTAAAGATAGTTGCCCAATAAAAATTACGAACATCTCAAGATGTTCAACTTATCTTATCTTCAGCCGAAAATGGTCTGAGAGGGAGACAATGGCGCAATGTTTCTTTTGTATTGAAAACAAATCGTTAGACATTTCACTTCACCAATAAATACTAAAAAAAGACACACATCGAACGAGTGAGCGACGATTCGTTATGATGATTTTTTAACCCGTTCCTTTTTCTTTTCTTTTTTTGAATGTATGTCGTCAAAGAGTGTACGCGAGCGAAAAGTATCTCTTTGCTGCTGTCTGCAATTGCTGATTTCAATTGAATGGAAAATCTATGCGCTGTGACTGTACAGTGTGTGTACTTTTTCGATTGTTGTTGTTGTTGTTGTTGGTATGGCAGAGAGAACGTGGAAACGAATACTCACCAGTTAAATAAAATACACGAGAGCAAAAGGAAGAAAAAATGCACGACGTCACAACATACACCGATTACAACAATAACGTCGCATTTGGAAAAGGAGAATGAGCACGGGCAAACCAATATTCATATGAACAACAACAAGAACAACAGCAGCAGCAGCAACAGCAGCAGCAAGGGAGGAAAAAACAACGTATTTTATATGCACGCAAATACCATGTGCGGCGTCGGCGATTTAAGCGTCTCGTTCGAATTTCGATGTGATATTTATTGGTGTATTGTATCCATGCGTGTCAGCGTGTACGTGTGCTCCCGCGTACGTGTGTATGTGTATTTGTGTAAGTCCGCGCGCAAACAGGATTTTCCATATCTCTGGCTTGCGCTGGTACACATTGCTGCATAAAGGTAAACGACGACGACGAGGACAACGATGGCAGCGGAGGTGGTGGCGGACCGTTCGTATTCATCCCCAACTCAATTTCTCCACTTTTCCAAGCGCCCGTAAGCGTGCATACCTCAATTTTGTTAGTGTACTCTCTTTTTTTTCTGCTGCTCGCCTCTCGAATTCGCTTTATGATGACTGCTAACGATTGTAATCGACATATAAACAATAATATATCGATATATGATACATTCAGTTCGATTGCTGGCGCTTGCACACTTTCGACGGCACAAAGGAGAAAGAGAGAAAAGGAAGAACGAACAAATGTAAAACGGAACGGAAGCCAATACCACCAAAAAGAAGAATGTAAATAGAGTAGAGAATTGGAAAACTACCGGAACAATGTGAAAATCGATGTTGAAAGTTCAAATGGAACATTTTATTGATTAACTGTGTGGTATTTGCGAGGCTAAAAACTATATACAACTCATGGATGTGCAACGCATTTCGTTGTCATTTCCAACCATTTTCTCCGCAGAACGAGTTGGCTACGGCCAGTGCGGGCAATAAAAAAATAAAGTTACGATCAACCTTTATACGAAATAAAAAACTCCATATGTTATTCGCTTTGTAAATTACAATTCGAATTGATTGAATGAGTCAATTTTTATTTTGCCTTCTTCCTATATGTAGCAAAAAATGTGCCATTTCAAAAATGATGAATCACCACAATTCAGAAGAATGAGTGCATTTTTGACGCCATCGAAAATGAAATTTCGCATTAAACAATGATAATCAAAAATCGTTCAATCATTCACCAAAAATTCATTCTCCTAATCGATTCACCCACTTTTTATTAAAATTCTAACTTTGATTCAAAACTTCGAATTTATGCGGTTTTTTTTATATCGGAATATCGATTATCGAAACAAACAAAAAATAAAAAGCAACATAAAGTCTAAGAAACTTCTACTCTTTCATTTATCAAAGATTTGCTTGTATTTGTTGATTTCATTGACAGAAAAGTGTGTGATGTGAAAAAAGGTAATTTGATGCAGTAATCGACATGGCCATTCAGAGGCCTGGATTCAATTCAAAAATGTGTTTTTAGCGATAATTTCAACTGGCGCCATCTCTATCTCAACGTGCGTATTTTTCATGCGCTGGTTAAAAACGTGGCTGAGAGGTTTGTTTTGTGTTATTTTTTACTCGAGTTTGACATTTGATCCATTTGTAAATAACAACACACAAAGAAATCCAATCACATCAATACAGACAACTGGTCAACTTTCAATTGTGTATAATCGTTCATATAAAATAGAGGAAAAATAAACTAAATAGACAGAGACAGCGGAACATATTTATAAAACTCGGTACGAAATATAAACAAAATAAGGGGCCGAAATGTCATTGTACAAAGCAAGGTAAATATCGAATTCTTGTATTGATAAATGGAATTTATTTTGATTTGAATCATGATTAAATCATTTGATGTGTACGTTTGTTTATAGAATCAAAGAGTTCGATGAATTATTGAATGAAAATGTGATTGATATTCGAAAGTTGCGTAGACTCTGTTTCAATGGTACGTAATTATAAATTGATTGCGTGTGTTGGCACACAAAATAATTTTATCAGTTGTTTTTTTTCCCTGTGTACTTTTTATCTGGTTCATTTGTTTTCGATAGGAATTCCCGATTGCAATGGCTATAGAGCATTATGTTGGAAAATCTTACTCGGCTACTTAGGATTGAAAAAACAAGACTGGCCCAGTATACTTCAGAAGAAGCGACAACTTTACAAGCAATTCATCAGTACGTTGAATTGAGAGAGTTTTTTTTTTTTTTTTGGCTTGGTTTCAGTTTCAGTACCAATCAATGATGAATGTTTATGTTTTTTTCAGCTGAAATGGCAATTCCACCGGGAAATGACAGCTCCATCTCAACTGATCATCCGTTGAGCGATGGGCCGGAAAGTGCTTGGAGCACGTTTTTCAAAGATAATGAATTTTTACTTCAGATCGACAAGGATGTTCGACGCTTGTGCCCAGACATTTCATTTTTTCAACAGGTATTCCAAACGTCATTCAAAAATGAGTTTTATCTTAAATTTTATTTCGATTTAATTTTTTTGCGAGAAGAATGAGTTTTTTTCAAAAACTTGCAAATTTGGTTACGATCGCCATTTAAATTGCAATTACTTTCATTTTGTTCCCAAAGGCAACCGAATTCCCTTGCGAAGAAATCGTACGAAGCAATGGCATCCGAAGATTGCACACAAGAGTGACACCGTCAACGCTGAGCTCAGCCAATGTCGAACGTAAAGGGCTAGGTCTAACAAAGGTTACCACTCTAACATAAATCTCCTTCTAATCGCTTCAACAAACTACTAAATCCTTTGTAAATACTGTACATATATGCATTAACCAATTAATATTTCACCTTTCCATGCGAATAACACAAAAATTAAAACAAAACAAAAATTGGTTGGAAACAGCAAGTGAGTCAACCGAAGATAAAGAAAAAATATTTATTAAAATGAAATTTGCCCAGTTCTCGCTGAATGTGAAACGAAAATACTTACACAACAATCTGGTTTCCTGTTTTGATATTAGATAAATCTCATAACAAAAAGTTCGAACGAGAGCTACGAAGCGATGGAAGAGGGAAGCGAAGCGCATTGGGAGGTTGTTCAACGAATTCTATTTTTATATGCCAAATTGAATCCCGGTTTGGGCTATGTTCAGGGTATGAATGAAATTATTGGTCCAATTTATTATGTGCTAGCATCCGATCCAAACATTGAAAATAGGCGTAAGTAATGAATCATTGAAAATGTAATCATACAAATTGCTATCATGTGACACATGTTTTTCTTTGTGTGTGTGTTTGCAGAATTTGCCGAAGCAGATAGTTTCTTCTGTTTTACAGCGTTAATGGGTGAAATCAGAGACTTTTTCTTGAAGACATTGGACGAATCGGAAAGCGGTATCAAGAAAAAAATGGCTCAATTGTCCGCAATGTTGAAGGAGAAAGATGCAGAAGTGTGGCATCGACTTGAACAACAAAATCTCTATCCACAGTACTATAGCTTTCGGTGGCTCACATTGATTCTGTCGCAGGAATTTCCATTGCCAGACGTTGTTCGTGTATGGGACTCAATATTTTCCGATGAAAATCGATTCGATTTCTTAGTTCGAGTCTGCTGTGCGATGATAATGTGAGTGAATTAATCTTTTTTTTTCCCGATATTTTGTGGTAATTTTTTTTCTGTTTTTTATTTTATTTTCACATGACAGTTTGCTCCGAACACAATTGCTGGAAAGTGATTTTGCAACGAATGTTAAGCTATTGCAACATTTTCCCGAGACCGATATTAATGTGGTGCTTCAAAAAGCCGCTGTTCTTTAAGCACACCAAACATTTCCATGCACTGTCATCTTGTGAATCTCGCACCATCATTTTTATCAACTGTACCGAGATTATTCCATTTTATATCGCATATTTTTTTTCCCATTTAGGTGCATAAAATGCCGTATTTTAAATACGAATCCGTTGGTTATTCCAACGATATCTTTCGATCAATCAGAAAAATCGGAACAAAACAAAGGATTTTTCCATTTATACCAATAGAAAAAAGAAATTGTCAATTGTAAGCAATATACACGATATCAGAATTAATAAAAAAAAAGACTTTTTTAACTGAAGAAAATTTGAAAAAAATGAACATAAAATTGTGTTGATATTTCATAGAATATTCGAATGGTTTGTATTAAACATTTATTTGGAGTTTTTTTTTTCAAGAACGGCTGTAACAGTACAGCAATTCTACTTTGTAAAGTATATGACGTTACGTTAAGGCGTACACCTACACACACAACTTCGCTAACGTAAAAGGAGTACAGCAATATATCGTGTGCTGTGATACAACATATCGCTGTACTCCTTTTACGTTAACGCAGTTGTATGTGTACGCCTTAACGTAACGTGAACAGAACGTGCACTCCGACAGCTACTTTTCCATGAGTTCTGTATTTTTAATCAATTCGGGGAAATTTGAAATACGCATTTTATAGTCTTTTTGTCAAAATTGCACCGTTTCCTTTCTCTAAAAAAAATTTGTCCGACCCAATAATAATTAGTGTTCAACTGTTCGAATTTAAAAATTCTGAGTCTAAATTTTGATGTATTAGATCATATATGAGCACACAACAAGTATATACATTACAGAATTAATGTGGAATAAGTCGAACGTCATATATGTATTATTAATCCTTGAAGCATTTTTTAAACAGAATAATTATGTTTCAATCAGAGCCGTAACCAGAACGTAATGCTTGGGCATGCTGAGCATCCAAAAAAAAACAAAATTTCCAGATAAACTATAACAAAACCATATTTCCGGATAAAAATATTTATTGAATAAAATGCGAACAATGGTTGTTACGATTATTATGTTTTTTTTAAAGAATATTAATTTTACGTTGCTTTTCATCAAAAAAATACTTAAGAATACGTTCATTCGGAAATGCGTGTAAATATTTATTTTCAAAGGCCAAAAATGAAAGATCGCACATTCGTTGCTCACTCATTGACATACGTTTGATTGTTTGTATTCGTGACAAACACGAAAAAGATGACTCACTTATAGCTGTGCTCGATCCAAACGTTTCGACCATGCAGAAAAAATCATAAACATCGGGAATCTCGATACGAATTTTATATAATTCTTCTAAGACATTTAATTTATAGTCTGGATCATTTTGTTTTGACTTTGCTTCCTCTCTCTG